GGGGGGGGGCGGGTCCCCCCGCGGGCCCCCGGGAAAAGCCACTCCTGTGGCCTCTCGTGCTGCCCACCTTGCCGACAGTGACCCAGGGCCCCAGGAACACAGAAGCTCCTGAGTCACCCCTTGGGGACACTGGCCCTGGCACATAGGCTCCTCCTGAGACCAGGATGGGTGAAGAGACCTGCAGCTACTGGGGTACAGAGTAGTGGGCAGATCCATGGTTCTGGGCTCCTGGAGGCAGGAATGGCTATAGGCAGACTTCTGGTCCAGGCCCTGCCAGGCATCTCCACAGAGGCCCATGATTTACCCTCCTACTTTCAGGATGCCCCCCAGAGTGCCATGGCCTGGCCTCAGCTCCAAACCCCACATCTCTCCTAGCAGCTGTTGGCCCCCTTCCACCGCCACCACCTGCCCAGCCACCCTGCCCTCGGCTCCAGGATGGTGTGTCATCTGTGTTCCCAGACACCGGGCCTGGGGAGGAGGTGCTGGGGTTTCTCACCAGGCCCCCATGAGGCCTAAGGGTTAACTGAAGGCAGGAGCCCCAAAACTGGAAGTCTAGACTAAGGCGAAGACGGGTGCCATGGGAAGCACCCCCTGTCGCCTCCTCGCCTGGTCCTGAGTCAGAGGAGCAGCAAGCACAGGGAATCTCCTCTGCCTCACTCTTCTTCCTGGTCCTCAAGGCTCACCCCTGCCCAAGCAGCTCCTTGGACACCCTGGCTCAAATTAATGAAGGGCAGGGCCCGCAGCGGGTGGGGCTTCCAACAGGGCTGGGGCTGCGGGGCTGCAGGTGGAGACAGTGACTCAGGAGACGCTGCCTGGAGGCAGACACACGTGTGGAGGCACGTGGAGGAGAGGTGGTCAGGAACAGAGGGTACTACAGGCAGAGCAGGGGAAAGAGACAAATATCAGAGGCCAAGGCTAGGGGAAGCCTTGAGAGCGCGCCGTGGCGCTGGGTGGGCAGGATGGCCACGAGGAGGGGAGGGCCGGCTGCGCTGGCTGCTTAGGGGGAACAAGCAGCAGTCCTTGTGCTGGGAGGGGCATGGGGAGGGGAGATTAGAGACGAGAGGGAGTCCCATAGTGCTGTGTGGCCGAGGCCAGGCCGGGCGACTGCCTACTTCTCTCATGATGGCAGCCTGTGGCCCCGCAGCCCGTGGAGGAGAGGCAGCCAGGCGGGGAAAATCAGCCCGAGCAGCATGTATGTCCCTGACCCCGGCCTGTCCTCCCTCACTGAAGGGCTCAGGCCAGCCACCAGCTTACATTGCCATGAGAATCATGGAGACAGAAGAGATCTCTGACCACATACCCTGGGGGATTCTGGGAGGGCACAGCACCCACTCCCTACCTTCCTTCAATGACAGTGATGACATCGTTCATCTGGATATGCAGCTTGTCTGGCTCCTCAAAGTCCTGAAGGGCCCGCATGTCTGTGGGCTGGGCCTGGGGGCAAAGACAGGTCACTGCCCACCCTGAGGCAGCCCCTCGTTCAAGTGGGCAGACCTGTCCTCACCTCCAGCAGGAAGTCTCGCAGGGCCACAAACGTGGGTCTGTCCTCCGGCTTATGGGCCCAGCACTGGACCATGACATTGTAGATGTCCTGGGGGCAGTCCTCGGGCCGGGGCAGACGCTCCCCCTCCTTGTCGATCTTATGCAGGATCTGCTGGCGCGTCGTGCAGAGTTTGAGGGTGGGCGAAGACCCAGCCCTTCACCCCACACCTTCTCCTCAGCCCATCCTACAACTGGCCATGCCCGTCTTCCAGAGATCAGCCTACCCGGGGAGGGGCTATATCTCCAGACCCTCAGACCCTTACTCCCAGGTCCAGGGCTCTCAGAAAGGCAGGTGAGGCAAGGGGCCAGGAATGAGTGCAAGCCCCTGCTCTTCCTCCCCTGGCCCACAGGGCAGCCCCACTCTGCTCAGCTCCCTGAGCGCTCACACAGAGCCGGCCTGTGGGGGAGTCCATCAGGACAGCCAGTGGCAGCAAGGCCAGGATGGGAGCGAGGGGTGAGATTAACCCACACAGCCGATGCCCCTCACCTGATTGCCGGGGAGGCTGACCCAGGGCTCCTGGCTGTAGGTGAACACCTCCTGAAGGGGAGCACCCCCTCACCTGACTGCCGGGGAGGCCGACCCAGGGCTCCTGGCTGTAGTTGAACACCTCCTGATGGGGAGCACCCCCTCACCTGACTGCCAGGGAGGCCGATCCAGGGCTCCTGGCTGTAGTTGAACACCTCCTGATGGGGAGCACCCCCTCACCTGACTGCCAGGGAGGCCGATCCAGGGCTCCTGGCTGTAGGTGAACCCCTCCTGACAGGGAGCACCCCCTCACCTGACTGCCAGGGAGGCCGATCCAGGGCTCCTGGCTGTAGGTGAACCCCTCCTAACAGGGAGCACCCCATCACCTGACTGCCGTGGAGGCCGATCCAGGGCTCCTGGCCGTAGGTGAACATCTCCCATAACGTGACCCCGAACATCCACGTGTCACTGGCGTGGGAGAAGGTACGTGTCTTCAGGCTCTCGGGGGCACACCTGCGAGAGGCAGGAGTCAAAGAGAAGGCCCCTCAAGCACCGCTACCTGCATCAGCCCCGAGATAACAGAAATACGCCTTCAACAAGCCTTTGTCAGTGCCCCCCGTGCCAAGCTCGACAACAGGTACCAGGGTCACCGTGCGAATGGCAGGGACAAGTGGGACTTCTGGACGAGCGTGAAACGCCCCAGTCAGGAAAGCGGGGAAAGGAAGAAGGTCGGAAGGCCCCGGGATGGGCCAGAGGGTAAATGCGGGCTGTCGTCTAACTGGCAGAAGGACAGCAATTTCCAGATTCTGGTCAGGACCCTAGATTCGGGTTTTTTTAGCAGGAAGGTGAGTGGGGGAAATTCGGATGGGGCCTGGGAAAGAACCAGAATGGGTGGGAACAGCCACACTGGCTTCACCCGAGCGCGCCCCTACTCCCTCCCCAGTAGGAGACAATGTGGTGAGGCCAGAAGGGGGGCTGGGGACGGTGGCTGCACTGGAAACCAAAAAGGCTCCTGTGGGACTGAAGACTGGCCCTGCCACTCACAGGGGACCGGGGAAGGTCCTCCAAGATCTCTAAGCCTCATTTTCTTCACGTGAGAAATGGGAATAACAATAACACGCTTCCCAGAACTATTTAAAGGAGCTATAGAGAGGTGGATGGTGGCAAAATGTGGCACTCTGCGAGGTCGACCCAAGAATAAAGCATGCGGGCACACGTGTGCCGTGATCAGGGCTGGGGTGGACTGTGGCGTCGGGATCCTGTCGGGAGTTCTTATCTCACTAGCAGAATAAAGAAATAAACTTTAGAAAGTCTTCTTCTGGAGGTGCCAGCAGGTGGCTTGGTGATTAAGGTGCTAGATTCCCATATGGCTGACCATGGTTCGAGTCCCAGACTTGACAGCTTGAAAATCACGTTGGATGCATGTACATATATACCCAAAATCCCAGGAGAATGAAGAAGGGATTGCAGCATGGCCCCCCATCCCGTGAGAGGGGTGTGATTTCTCACTTTCCTTCCTTCTCTGTCTCTCTTCAGCAAGCACACATACCCTATGGCAAAATCCTTATTTAAAAAAAAAAGATGGGACCAGCAGTTAGCGTAATGGTTATGTTGCTGGACTCCCACGTAGTCGACCGCAGTTCGAGTCCCGGACCCGGGCGTGTGTGCACCCAAGATCCCGAGAGGAGAACGGAGAAGGGATTGCAGCATGGTCATCCCCCCTGGGGGGTGATTTCTCGCTTTCTGTCTCTGTCTGTCTGGTGAGTGCACGTGCCCTATAGCAAAAACCTCTTTCTTTTAGTTTACAAAAAGAAAGAAAAAGGAAAAGAAGGGGGCTGAGGGAAAAAAAGATGACTTTATAATTCGCCATCTAAACTACAATGCTTGAAAAAATGAAAGGGCATGCTACATAAATCACTCCAGGACAACAGGCACCAGGACACGCGGTCACCCTGGGTCGAACATCAGTTACTAATGACGGTGACCACTCGTTCTGGACTGGGAGGGTTACACTCACAGCACAGCTCTAGCGAGCAGAACTGGACCAAGCCCTCCTACTCAAAAGCAGGGAGACCATGCTCCCTTGGGTGCTTCTGGTCTCAGCGAAGGACATACCCACACAGGTGCCAGGCAAAGGCCAGGTACCCCCCCAGTGCTCAGGTAAGCAGGCCTGTTCACTGTTTATGCGACCCAGCAATGTCTGGCCCTGTCTGTTACTAATTCTATCGAGAATATGTTTATTTGCCTTTTTTTTTTTCTTTTAGTTTACAATAGAACACATGAGAAATCAACCCCAAGGCAGGGTGGCCACGCCACAATCCCTTCTCCTCCATTCTCCTCTTGGGATTTTGGGCATGCACACACATGTGCCTGGGTGTTTCTCAAGCCACCAGGTCCAGGACTTCAACTGTGCGGTTGGCCTTGTGGGATCCAGTCACTGTAACCTCCACGTCACCCTATCTTGGATATTTACCAACTAGTCTTTGCCTGGCTAGCTTCTGCTATCTCAGGAGCGAGTATTAAGTCCTCACGGAAGCCTTTAATATCCTGCTCAGTAACACCCCCCTCTGTGAGTACCTGCAGTGCATCCTGTGCCTTCCAGGGGCGAGACCCTGCTACTCAGGCCCTTGAGAATTCCTGGACAGATGGAGTGCACAGGGTGCATGGGGCCCAGAACACACAAAGGCAGGCCCAGGGAGACCCAAAAGTTGTGGTGAGTACAAGGACCCTGAAAGTTTTGAGGTCTGGGTCTGCAGGGACCAGGGGAGGGCCCAGGCCCTGTGCAACAGCAGCGCCTGCCCCTCACCAGGCAAAGGGCACCTTGCGATGTTCCTGCATGACGTAGTGGTCATCATTTTGGGGTAGCGCTCGCATCAGCCCGAAGTCCCCAATCTTCACCAGGTCCCGGGTAGCCAAGAGCAGATTTCGAGCAGCCAGGTCACGGTGAATGAAGCGCTTGGACTCCAGGTACCCCATGCCCTCAGCCACCTGCACAGCATAGCGGCTCAGGGTCCCCAGGAGGAAGTGGCCCTGGTGCTTCCGCAGCCGGTCCAACAGCGAACCCAGAGGCGCCAGCTCTGTCACCTGAGGCCAGGAGGAGGGGAGAGAAACAGGCCGATGAGCCCTGCCCCTCAGCACCTTGTGCTGCCCTCCCAGTCTCTCCTGAAGGCCTCCCAAAGCCGGGCTCCAGCTCCTGTGGACCTGTCCTCTTAGACCTCTAGGAATGCCACGGCTTCCTAAGCCTTTCTCTCTGGGCCACGTGGGAAGACTGAGGCTCAGAGAGCAGCAGCCCAACGGGCTCAGGCTAGAAATTCCAAAACGCAAGCTCAGAGGTCAGCCCCCCACCCCTGGGAGCAACTCTCTGCCTTGAGCACTGGAAAAACAGAAATGGACATTGGCCCAAGTGACAGTCGGAACCGGGCCCTGCAAGTCCATCGGGTCAGGGACCAAAGCAGAACCTAGAGGGTGTCTGAGTTCTGCCAGAATGGACAGTCGTCACAGTACAGGCTGGAGGAGGGGCACGGTGAGGGCCCTGGGCCGACCTGACGAGAATCGGGCTCTGCTGCCTCACCTCTCCTGCCCACGGCACTCACCATCTTCATGGGTGGTGTGAGCACCACACCATAGAGGCGAATGAGGTTTCGGTGGTCAAGCGAGTGCATGGCGTTGACTTCCCGGATGAAGTCATCCATGGCCTCTGGCTGGCTCAGCACATCGGGCTTCAGGCACTTCACAGCCACACTGACCTGCCCAGTAGAGGTATAGAGAGTCTGGGCCTGCTCAGCCCCAACACGCCGAGCCAACCCACCCCTCCTTCCAACTAGGCTCAAAGATCCCTGCCTCCCACTGAGCTACCCATCTGGTGGGCGAGCCCGTCACCAGTGCCTGGGCTCACGCGCTCTGCATGTGACTGTCTGGGGAGAGCCATCAGCAAGGCTTCCCCTCCCAGGTAAAAGAGCAACCACAAGGCAGGAGACAACCAGGAGATGACAGCACATTAAAATGTTATAATAAGGGGCTGGCAGGTGGTGTGGAGGTTAAGGCACCGGACCCCCACATGGCTGACTATGGTTCGAGTCCTGGACCTGGAGGCTTACTTTCTCACTTTCTCTCTCTCACTCTCACGCTCAATTTCTCACTCTGTCCCTCTCTGGTCAAATTAAAATAAATAAAGTTACATTTTTAAAAAATGTTATAATACAGTAGAATATTGGAAGTGTTTTGGAAAGCCAGCAGGTGGCAGGCGTAGCAGTTAAGGTGCTGGACTCCCACACAGCTGACCAATCTTCATGTCCTGGACCGGGTGACTTAAAAACTCATGCTGGGGGTGTATGTGCATGCCCCAAATCCCATGAGAATGGAGAAGGAACTGTGGCCACTGCCCTTGGGAGAGGGTGGTGATTCCTCATTATCTATTTCTGGAGAGTACACACACCCTATGGGGGGAAAAAAAAAGTGTTTTGGGTGAAGGAAAACACTTTAAGTATAATATAAGAAAGGGCCAGCAGGTGGCATGGTGGTTAAGGTGGTGGACTCAGTTCAAGTCCCGGACCTGGTGGTTTACTTATTTTTTAGAGAGATTTTCGCTATAGGGCGCGTGCGCTCGCCAGACAGACAGAGACAGAGAGACAGAAAGAGAGAAATCACCCCCCAGGGGGGATGGTCACGCCACAATCCCTTCTCCTCTCGGGATCTTGGGCATGCACGTACACGCACCCAGCGTGAGTTTTAAGCCACCGGGTCCGGGACACGAACCGCGGTCGAACGAACCACGGTCGACTACGTGGGAGTCCAGCGACATAGCCATTACGCTAACTGCTGGTTCCCATGGTGGTTTATTTTCTCACTCCTTTCCCCTGTCTCTCTCTACCTCTCTGGTCAAATTTTTTAAAATGATGATGATGACAAATAAAATTAAACAATTCTTTTAAAAAATGTATAATACAAAAACAAATCATCAGTCAGTGGTGCTAAAAGTCAGAAAGTGGCTTCCTTGGAGGCAAGGATACTGAGTGAAGAGGAATGGGACACCTTCTGGCGCGCTAGACATGCTCCGTACACGATCGGGACAGTGGTTCCATGGGTCTGCATATGTAAAAAGTCACTTAAGAACGGCATGTCAAAAAAAGAATGGAATGCACCAGTTAAGTTCTTCTCCAGGGAAGAAAACTGAAAGGATAATGCTGAGGCTGGCACGTAGCATGGTGGTCAAGGTGCTGGACTCCCAGAGTCGACTGTGCTTCGGGTCCCAGACCTGCCGGTTTGCTTTCTCATCCCCCCCCCCTCTGGTCAAATTAAACCGCGGTTTGATTCCCGGACCCGGTGGCTTAAACTCACACCGGGTGTGTGTGTGTGCGTGCCCAAGATCCCGAGAGGAGAATGGAGGAGAAGGGATTGCGGTGTGGCCACACCCCCTGGGGGTGATTTCTCGCTTTCTGTCTCTGTCTTCCTGGCGAGTACACGTGCCCTATAGCAAAAACCTCTTTAAAAAAAAAAAAAAAAATCTGTATCTTAACTAAATCCAACAAAACACCTGATGGGAGAAAATGGCAGAAATGCTAACTCTGCCTCCTCTGTGTGGTGGGATTACACGTATTTTTTTTTTTCCTTATCTTTCAAATAGTTTCCAAACATTTCTAAGAAAGTTCTCTGTATAAATGAAAAAACAAGTAAACGTGCTTAATTAAACCTGTGGCTGGCTCCAGGGGGAGCCGCTCTGGGGCCTGTTCCCAGCTCCACTCATATCCCATCCCTGTGTGGCGTCCACAGGATGCAGGGCTCACCGTCTTCCCCGAGGGCGCATCCCACTCGCCCCTGCGCACCACGCCAAAGGAGCCGTCGCCCAGCTTCTCCAGGAGGCGCAGGTCCTTCTCCCCGATCAGGCAGGTGAGGCTCTGCAGGGAGCCCTCCCCTGATGGGCCCCCTGGGGTGGGTGAGGTTTTCCGGAAGGTGCTCTGGGAGTGATGAGGAGGGAACTCAGCCTCCAGCCGCTTTCCACTGAACACCTGTTTAAAGGCAGCCAGGGGCTAGAGGAATCCAGGGCCTCAGAGCCAGTCACTCGGTCCCACCCACTGGGTCCACCTGGTGCTCCTCAGCTCGGCTCCAAATAGGACCAGCCCTAAAAAACTGTGAAGTGCGGGCAGCCTGGCTGGAGGCCCACGCTCCCCTCAGAACACACTCCCAACAGGAACTCACAGCTTCAGCGTGCCCTTAGGGTACAGGCCAGAACCAGACTGCCAGGTGTGCAGCCTGGGCTGCAGCGGGCTCACGCTCAGCTGTGGGGACAGGGATCATCTTGAGCCCTCCATGTCTCACCCGTCCCAGGTCAGAGTCTCCTCCCGTCTTTCTGTCCCAACCCCTCCTCCCCATACCCCCTACCCAACACAGACCCTGTCCCTAACTAGCACAGATGGGGCAGAGCCTAAGGGGCCTTCCACAAACACCTCCCTGTCTGTTTTTAGCCCTGGCCTCTTCTCTGGGTTGACCATTTGGTGCTGTCTGTCTCCACCCTCCCCGGGGAGTCGGATGCCCTTCATCCTGCCCAAGGGAGAGGATAATTTTAGTCTGAGGTTGAACTGCATGTGTGTGTGTGTGTGTGTGTGTGAGAGAGAGAGAGAGAGGTGGCACGGCAGCGGCAGCGGGCAGTACAGATGAAGCAAGTCCTCGCTGAGGAAAGGCCTAGGATGACTAGGATTCTGGAGGGGCATCCAGAGCTGAGGGCTGCGACAGAAGGAAAAGGAGATCCTGAGCCCTGAGCTGGAGAGGGAGGGGGCCAAAGGTCCAGGAACAGAAGGAGGGAGGACATGGAGGTCAGAGCTCACCACATCGGTCTCTCTCGGCCTCTTCTACTGGTCTTTCCAAGCTTTGGCTTCTGGCTGCAGACTATTCCCAGTTTGGGCCCTCACCCCCAGAGTTGGCACAGCCTTATCTGCAGGGCCAGGAAGCTCTCAGACCTGAGGGCCCAGCAGCTGGGATGCTTTCTATTTGTAAGCTCACTGTGGGGTCTCTGCAGCTGTTCTCTGCAGGGCAGCCCAAACCCCAACCATGCTAGGTGAGCTGGGCAGTGAGGCCAGCACTGGTTTGCTGGAGACACAGACAAGCCCAGGGCAGGTCAATGACCACCCAGGGATCCCAGCCTGCCCCACTGCTCTTCTCTCCTGCCTTCCCTGGCCTCAAACATAATCATCCTTCCTTACAACCTGAGCAAGGGACCAGGACAGCGTCCCCAGAAAAGGCCACAGGATCCCAAGAAACAGACCCTTTGCCAAACTGAAGCCAGAAATCTTGGCTGCCCGATCCCAGCAGAGTCCAGCTGTTCTGCCCTGCCCACCGCCACCACAGCCCCGAGGCCAGAAGTGGGGAGGGAAGGCCCAGGCTGGCTCACTTCCTCTCTCATTGTCTTCCAGACAATGGGCAAAGTTCCACTGAGTCAGACCAGGGCCTCACCAGACTCAAACGCGGACAAAGTGGGGTGGAGGGGGGGCATTGGGAAGGAAGCCATCAGGGAGGCCAGATGACCAGAGAAACCCAGAGGGGGGGCAGGCAAAGCAGAGCTGCACTGGGCCCAGGCAGCGCCCACCACCCCAAACTGGACATCGACACCAGCCCCAACCCCAGCCCCAGCGAGAGTGAGGCTCGAGTTAAGCCGCACTTGTCAACCAGCTCCGATTCCCTGCACTCCAAGGCTGGTGTGAAGCCCTCACTGCAGGGGCTGCTCCCGTGTCGCCGCTGGGACAGACACTGAGCCCGGCAGCTCTACAAGGAGGAAGGCCTGGACAAAGTGCGAGGGGGCACGGAGACAGCCCCTCCCAGGACTTACCTTGCTCATCCATGACTTGCGTTTGCACAGGGCCTTCCTCCTCTTCACTGCCTCCCACAGCCGCCGCTGGCCTGCGGGGACGGGGATGGGGACAGAAAGGGGCCTGGCGCTGTTCAGGTGGCTTACAACCCCGGAGAGGCGGACGCCCATGCCTCAGGCTTCCTCAGCCCTCAGAGGGTCCACCTGAAGACGCTGCCCCACACACCACTCCCACCAGAGGCCTCAGTTACGCAGCTGGTCACTGCATGCCACCTCTCGGCAGTGGCTCTCCACCTGGGTGGAGGTGTGTAAACCACCTGAACTGAGTTCTCCTCTCAGGAAAAGTCAGGGTAAAGGGTGGAATTTCCTGTTTCAAGCTTTTTTCCCCGTAAAATTTTCTTGAGCATCAGACACCAACGACTCAGGTCAAAGGTGACGTGGTCGGCGTCTCCCTCATCACTACCCGCTCGGCACTCTAGGTCAAACACATGGTGTCTCTAACGTTCCAGAGTACCATGACGTCTAGGTAATAAACTATGTCTTTTTTTTTTTTTTTTTGGGGGGGTTTTTTTGCCTAAGGGGCGCTTGGGCTCGCC